GTAGAGGGTCAAAGTGACAACAGAATTCGAGGTTGAAGAGATATAGTCTGGAGATGGAGGAAGGGACCACAAACTGAGGACTGCAGGTCCCCTCTAGAAGCTGAGAAAGATGAAATGGATTTTCCCCTAGAACTTCCAGAAGGGATGCAACTCTGAGGACACTGAGTTTATCACCAAACCCAATCGACCTGTGACTTCTAGAACTGTAAGATAATAAATCTGTGTTGCTTAAGACATTGAGTTTGTGGTAATTAATTATAGTAGCAATAGGAAACTAACATATCCATCTTTCAACACCTTCCTCTCTCCACAAAGTATAGTAGTGTCTTCCTAAAGCATGAATAAAAATACAACCTTGCATCTCTCCAGGTTCCCATAGCTGTTTAACATATCATAATATTTCCAATGTGGTAAACTGAAAATAAGGTTTCACTGAACCTGAGAATACTGAGGGAAAATATCTATGCAAGACATTTGCATGCTCAGAGCAACACTCATGGTATACAAATGGAATGTAATAGGAACCAATTCTGTAGGTTTGCCAAATGCAGGATTCATTACAGGCAGTAATGTGGGTATGAAAACTGTTCTTAGCATTTCATTTTTGTGAAATGTCAACATTATCAAAGGACCAATAAAGAGTTAAATATTTTAATATAATTCTCTGGAAAATATAGATATAATTAGTTAAGTAGTAGAGGTTCTGGTTTTATTTTTATTAAACTCTAATACTGAGGTAAAGTATAAATCTTAAGGGGATAAAAGCAGAGTCTGATTTATTCAATTTTTTTTTTTTTTACAAAGCATCCCAGTAAGGCTTAAGTGCTATTAATATTTATTGACAAAACTAATTATAATATTAATACTAAAATAAGTAGCTATTAAGTAATGCAATCATGTAAATATGCAAATATATCTCAGCCAACATATAGCACCAAACAAAGCCAGTGTTTTTAAAACAAGCCTTTCTTCAAAATATATTTTTGCTCAAAATTTTGGAGATTTTCTCTTATAAATAACTAGAGGCCCAGTGCACAAAATTTGTGCACGGGGGATCGGGGGAGCGGGGTGGGTGGGTGCTGTCCCTTCAGCCCAGCCTGCACCCTCTCCAATCCTGGCCTGGTCACCTCTTACTGCCCCCCTGCCACCCTGGTCGTCCCATGTAGCCTGCTTGTTCAGTCGTTTGGTCATCCCTCACTAAACTCCCACCCCCCTGCCCGCCTGGTCATAGGCAGCCATCTTGTGAGGGCCAATTTGGATATTACCTCTTTATTATATAGGATTATGATGCTTTGCTCTATTAAGAAATATCACAACTTGATTGATTTTATTTGTTTATAATTTGAAGGATGATAAAACATAGATTTTCCATAGTTACATTGAAAATGAAAAAGCAAAGCAAAACATATCATGCAGTAAATGTGCAGATTTAGTCAGTTGGTGGTTTACTTTTCATAAGTTTCTTCACTATTTTCTTATAAAGGGGGGCATGAGGGTCCAGGCAAATTTTCTGTCCATTCTTCAATGTGGCTCTGCCAGGGAAAAGAGAAGAGGTGAGCCCCTTGGTCTCTGGGTTTGAACACAGGTAGATGGCGGTGTGTGTGTGTCGGGGGAGGGGGAGAGGACCATAGGCAAAGGTGGAGGAAGCAGAGGGTGGGCACGAGCAAGGGAGAGGACTCACATCATTTGGGAGGTGGGGCAGTGGCGTCCAGCCGCGATCACCTCCAAGCTGGCGATGTGCTTGGGATGGACTCCGGAGATGGTCTTCACACACATGCATTGCAGGAACCCATCTCCTTCTTCAGGGTCTTCTGGGGAAAGCAGGAGTGGGGGGAAAGGGGGTCATGAGGGAGGGAGGGAAGAAGGGAGTGGTGACTCCTAGAATGTCTCCTTAGGGATCTTTCTCTCTGCATTCAGCCTTCATTTCCCCAACCACAGACCATACCTCCGCAGTAAGAAGTAGTACATAGTGCCTAGATGTGAAGCTCACCGGACAGCGCTTGGCCCAGTGCCTGCACACACCTAACTTTGATCAGTAAAGTGTGGAGGATATTGCTGTGTTTACAGACCTGGCCCAGCCCCAGGGTTCCCCGGCCTCTCTCCAGCCCTTCCCAGCCCTTCCCAGCCCTTCCCAGCCTTTCCCTCCTGGCTTCTGTTCTCACCTATGACTTGGGCGACCACAGCTGGCAGGAGCAGCAGTCCCAGGAGCAGCAGCCCGGAGCTGGGCCAGGGGCGGGAGGCCTGGGAGCCCACTTTCAGGCTCATGTTGAGGAGGTGCCAAGAGGAGAGCAGAGTACCAGGGCAATCCGGGCTGGAGCTCTGCAGACCAGTGGTTCCGAGACTCTCCAGCCCCGTTTTATCCCCACTGCCTCTCCAGTCCGGAAGCCTGGGGTGGAGGGTGAGGAGCTGTGGTGCAGAAGCCAGAAGAGTTGGGTTCTGGCCAGCCAAGATTGGGGCTGGGAGGAGGAAGCGGGGAGCAGGGGGAAGAAGAAGAAGTAAAAAAAGCCCAGGTCAGCTGTCTCGCGGCTGCAAGCTGGTAGCAGGGTCCACACCCCAAACCGATTCCATATGCATGCACATTTGTGGAATTAGAAACAGTGCTTGTAAACTTATAAAATACATGTTCTTTGTTACGTAGAGTTCCCTGCAGTCACCAGGTTGCAATTTACACAGCATGTACCCTTGGGACTGAGGGAGTTTCTCTCCCTTCCCAACGTCCAGCTGCCTTATCAAGAACTGTTCCTCACTCCTGCCTTTCTTATTGATTACCACTAAGTTGAGTTGAGTGTGTTCAAGGTGTGTAGTTTGTCATTGTTTTCTGCTACTCAAAGGTTGAATTCGGTCTCTGGGCAATGACCCAGGCTTGAATGTCACCTGGCTGTGGAAGGCTTCTGAGTCTCCTGAATGGGACCCACCAGTTCTACCAACCCATCAGCCAGTTTACTCTAGGAAGCAAGGCCTACATCCTAATCAATCCTCTTACTCTGAAAAAAATTGTGGAAGTAATATCTGAATGCGCGCTTTCTGTAAAACATGGTGCCTGCGTGTTTCTCCATCCTGCTCAGCCAAGAAGAGAGGTCAAGAAGGAGAATTTCCAGGCCACATCTCCCAGTGCCTGCTGTGACCCAGGTGTCAGGGTGAGATGGGCTGTGCTGTTGGCAGGATCAGCAATGCTCTTGGGACACTGAGCATCTGGGAGTTGTGTGGGAAGTCATGGAGGACAGGATGGAGGGCATGCACCAGAATCCTGCACAGGAAAGGTCGGGAGATTAACAGAGACCACCTTCCCTTCCCGGAATAAAAAAGGCTTTGGCTTTTGATCAGAGCCCCTCACCGCACAGGCAGAGGCTCTCTGTAACACGGATTCACAGTGCTGCGAGGCGTCGGGATCCACAGCATGGAGCTAGCTGACGGCTTCATGCTCAGCAGGACCGGACTTCTGCAGGGATATGCAATTTAATTCCTGGGCCTACAATGTTCTTTATCTTTCTCCCCCACCACCTGCTCTTTCAGCTGGCTCAGTCCTATTCATATTTCTGTGTCAGCTTAAATAGCACTTCCTCAGAGGGCCTTCCTGACAGCTGTGGCTGATTGTGTTCCTTGTGGTTGTATCTTGCGGCACCCTCTGTTTTTCCTATTTCTCAGAGATCATACAAACACGCACACGTTATACACAGAGATATGCCTGTGCCTGTACGTTTAAAATGATTTCTTTTCCTAAATGAGAAGCTCCATGAGAGATCATAATGTTTGTCACTATCACACTACAGGGACTCAGTATAAAATTACCACATTTAGTAAAGATAATAAACGTTGAAACTAGTGACATTGAGGCTTTGACTTGTTCATGTATCTGTTTCTTCATGCAATAGGGGCATGAAGTAAGAGCCTCTTTATTAGTAAGAGCCTCATGTGGTTGTTATTTGTCAACATGTCTGCCTCTCCCACCAAACAGTTGCTGGGGTCCAACCCCAGCAGGTCCAGGGGTCCCCAAAGGTGTGGACGGAGTCGGCGAAGAAGGAATGACACGGAGACAGCGTTCAGTTGATCAGCAGCCT